GGAAAGAAGATGAATAACCATTCGGAGACAGTGAAAAGGGCAGAAGGCCCGAGTGAAATTGTTCACGACCCTCGTGACTGTGCCCTTCTCGGTTTATGTCCGCACTCGTATATGAACTGCGATATTTAGTGTCCAATGATAAGAAGTCATAGAAACCCTGGAACAATTCGGAAAATAAACAGAAAAAAGTGTCAGTTATCCAGAATACAAATAGGTAAAATAGAGGTTCAAATTAATTACATAAGTGTCCTGTTATTTTCCATACGTAAAAACCCACGGATGTTTTGTTCATCGAGCAAAGACAAATCCCAAAAGAATGCTTGAGATATGTATATAGGGAAGTTTGTGTAGTTTTCAACTAACCCCAAGCTTTAGTTTTCTTTCGAATTTTGCAGCAGCATTACAGAAAATTACTATTCTATTGGTGCTTTACAATGAACTCACCACTTTTGCATCTTCGATAATCCTCTCATTTAAAAAGATATCGTGCTCGACTGTGGCTGGGGCCTTCTTGGATGACCCTTCTTTATTCTTCGGCATCTGCAAGACCTTAATCAGACGGCTTATGTAGACATGTGTAGAGGATCTTTTCCATGACTTATCAGATTGAACTGCAATTTGAGGAGTACACTGGAGTAAAGAGTAAGAGAATAATATCCCGGTGAGACTGAGTTTTTGTTGTGAATGTGTTTATATTCAATTTAATCCTGAAATGTAAAAAAGGCATTACCTTTTCAGTAGTAATGCTGTTTTCAATAACAGGTGGCTGAGAGGTGGCATTAGTACTCCCAACCCAGACGGCACTCCTGTCGGTTAAATGATCTTGAATTAATCAATAATGCACGAGATGTAAAGAAAATGGAAACACACACACACACACACACAAAGAGCAGAATATTTAAGGAATTCTTCAGGGAATAATTTTTACCTTAATGAAGAACCAGGTGTGCAACAACTCTGCATTTCTGTTGGAGACTGAGACGAACCTAAGTTTTTCGAACCAAATGTTACATTAACTGTTGTCGTATATACTCCGAATATTCTAGCCAGTAATGAAAAAGGCCAGGTACAATTCAATGAAAAAACGTACTGTTATAATTGTGATCCATGGGATTATACTTCTTTCCATATTGATCTCCAGAAGCTGTAACCTGGAAAAAGAAACATAAAAAAATAAAATAAAAAGATATATCTTAGGTACAGAAGTAATAAAGGAGATACAGAACTGTGTAATATAATTCAGAAAATTACCTGTTCAAGGTCAATTAATTGTTCACTTGATACTCTCTGTTCCCATATCCTAGCATCTATTAAAAAATGGCATTTTAGAACAGACGAACACAC